ACCCTGAGTTTCTGATTCAGTAGGTCTAAGGGAGGGATCTGAGGGTTTGCATTTCTAAAAACTTCCCAGGGAATGCTGATGCTGGTCTGGGGACCATTTTGAGAATCAGTGCTGTAGCCACAGACCGCTTGTAATTTCTTTTTTCCTTCAGACTTTTGAACTATTTTCTGGCTCTGCAGCCTTCCTTGAGCCCATCAGTAATGAGTTTCCAGTAAGTGCTCCGTGTTTCCACGTGGTTTGGTCTGGGCTGCCCTGGGCCATCAGACACCTAGAGAAAGACCTTTGCCACAGGGTGGCAGCAGCATCCCAGGCACAGAATGGTTGGCCTTGCGCTCTGGACAGCTCATTAGCACACCATCCCCTGGGTTCCCACTGGGCGAGGGCATGCCTGGCTCTCTGTTTCCCCTTGGCAGGGAAGACTGTAGGAAGGGGCCCGGCAGAGGGGGAGGTTGCTGGCACACAGAGGGGCGGTTTTGTTCTCTTGGAGACTCTGGGAGAGGAAGCTGGGTGGTCTCCTCAGAGCATCGGATTGTGCCCTTCACAAAACCACCATGCAGTGCGGGGCCACTGGGAGAGCCGGTGGGACAAAAGGCCTCGGAGGAGACGGGCAGGGGCTGCCGGTCAGCCCAGGCGCGGAGGCCTGGGCCCCTCTGTGAAGAGGCCTGGCAATTTCTCATGATGCCGGTTTCCAGGGGTGACGGCCTCCGCCAAACCTTTCTCCCGGGAAATGTAGGTCTGTGGCCCCCTTGGGGAGTTCCTTCCAGCTCACAGCAGGTCCAGATGGTCCTTTCCTTCAGCGTCACACTCCCTCCCTTTTATTGCTCAGGGTTTGTTCTGGACATCTTAGGAATCTTTCTGAGTGCCAGGAACTGTGTTGGGAATTTTCTATCTAGATGTCATCTATTTAATTCTCATGACGCCCTCATGAAGAAGGTATTATTATACCCATTTATGATGCAGAAGTTGACGCTGAACCTACCGTTTGCCAAGGTTAGTTGATCATTTAACCAGGGTCCACTTGGACTCTAGCCGCCCATCCAATACATGGCTATGTGATGAATGTTGATTTGAAGATGGTGGGTTTCATCCAACCCCTACGTGTGCAGACATGGGATTGATAACTCTGCTAATGTGCAGGGAGGAGGGCTTTCCAGAAGCCCTGCTGAGCTGCTCGAAAAGTCGGGTGTGACAAGTTTGGATTCAATCCATCACTGCATACAAGTTTGGATTCAACCCCCACCCTGATGCTGAAGCCCTTCAGGTTTCAGGAAGCCCGAAGCTCCTTTTTAGTCTAGCTATGTTAGTTTCCTAACATACATGCTGACTCTCTCAAGCTCTCTACTTCTTCAGCTGATAGCTCCTCATCAGATTAATTGAAAGAATGCCTCACCAAGGCACTGTCGTGCTGAGGCAGTGGAATTTGGTGATTGTTTTCAGCCTTGTGTTGCTGACAAAATCCTTACGTACTAAGTACTCCCCAAAGCAGACGGATCATCAGTTCATTGTACTGGGCTGTGCTGACTCCCGAATGGTCCTTTCCCCTGTGACAGCTATGTCTGGAGGTTCCTGGCTCGTTACTTTTCAGGACTTTTTTTTTTTTAATGATCTCCTGAACTTAAAGAGTTGGGAAAGAAATCCAGAAGTTGCCATCTGACACCATCCTCTAGACTCACTGCTTCTTTAGCCTAATTGCACAGCTGTTATTATTGGGAAAGGGTTTATGAGATTATTTTTTTCCTTTCTGGAGTACCAGCTGAGTCCTGCTTTTTCATATTTTTCAGTCTTGGCTTAAAGAAGGAGCTTTTGTGAAAATAATTCCCATTCAGGGAGACTGGAATTCCCTGAAGAGACTGAAAAATGCCTCATTTTCAACTTTACAGAGACCGGAAAATGATCAACTTTTAATAGCACAGTATGAAGAAAGTATCGGTGTTTTTCTAAAAGATGTCCTCCAAATGAAAAAAAAAAGTGTCCATCATTGGAAAAGTAATATATGAATGCCAACTTTTTCAGTCCTGTAATAGAGTACAGAAAACATTTTATGTTGAAGTGGGGGGAGGGGGAGAAAGGAGTGAGAGAGGGAAAGGAGAAAACAGGGAAGGGAAGAAAAGGAAAGTAGGTGTGAGTCCAAATGTTTCAAGTATGGGTAACTGAACATTGTTAATTTATTTAAGACAGTTTTGTGAAATCTTCAAGGTGATTCATCCAGCTTATTAACTGCGGCCCCAAGATTTACAAGCACATAATGAGTGATAATGTCCCCAGAACAAATAAATAGAAGCAGATGTCAGGTCCAAATTGCCCTTTAAAGTATATTTTTGCTTTCAGAGAGAAATTCAAAATTGGGAGGATTATTTTGTAATGAAGACCACCCCCCCAAACACACAAACCCTTTCACTTCTGACATCCACTTCTTTCATGAAGCAAACATAAAGTGTCCTGAGTTCCACTTGTATTAGACTTGCCAGAGTAACAAATGAAAATACAGGATGCCCAGGCCACGTTTTGCATAGTCACACCAACACATTATTTGTTATATGATACTTACACTAAAACATTGTTTGTGACTTATCCAAAATTCAAATTCAACTGGGTGTCCTGTATTTTATTTGACAACCCTCCTTATATGTGTAATTCAGCAAAATGTGAATGTTTCCAAATTGAAGGTGGAGATGGCAGTCTGGTGGGAACAGCGAGGGGTAACCCGCTGGAACATATTCCATGCCATCTCTGAGAACCTGTCTGTAGCTGGAAAACACAAGTGACACAATGGGAAGATGAGGATCCCAAAGAGGAGGTGGGAGAGGAGCAGAGGTAAGGCGCCAGGGAGGCAAAGCAGAATGCCCAGAACGGAAGGGGCTCCTTTGGAGAGGTTATTGGAGAAGCAGGGAGCCCAGAGGGAAAAGTGAAATGGGGGCAATGAAGAATTTTAAGCAGCTTGATCTCTTTCACAGATTGATCCCTTTCAGCACCGCGGACCTTGGAATTCCACGTGACCCCAAGCAAGATTTCTTCAAGTTGTCTCTCCTGTTGAGAGCTTCGCGCGGAAATGGCCCAGGATGAGCGCCGGGCTCCCCCTGGTGGCTACTGTGAGTATCGCGCCCCCTGACCCTGCCTCGCTTATCCCCAAATTTCTCGTCTTCGGCTTTCCCTCTTATGACGCTGAGCATCAGCTCCCTCCGCTCTCCCTTCCTTCGCTTTTTGTCGGCGTGTCCATTCCGAGCCTGCCCTCGGCGTGACACCTCCCAACTGCTCTGGCCCCTGACGCGGCCACACAGAGCTAGGCATTGTTGCTCCGGCTCTGGGACCACCCGGGTGGGAGAAGGGGAAGCGCGGCCGCCGCGGAGGCCGGATGACTGACAGCAGCCTCGGGTCAGTTGCCCGGCTGGCCGCCCGGCAGGAGGCCGTGCGCCCCGGGCCCCAGCGGGGTCGTCCCCGCCACACCCCCTCCCTCCAGCGCGAAGCGTTTCCTTCGAGCCTCCTTCAGACCCGTTCAATTAACAGCACTAGCACGTCTGTGTTCAACACGGTGGATATGAATAGAGGCAAAAATAAAGAAGAGGAAAGAAACCCCCAAAACTTTGTACTGGCAAAGGGCGTTTTTCCCCCCTCTTGGGACAGGGAGTCCTGATTGAGTCAGACAGTGGTGGTGACGGGATGAATATGGGAAGTGGAGGAGATAGACGCCCCCAGCTTCTGAGGATTAAAAAATTGCGTTGTGTATTTTATGTATCTGAAACATTAAGAAAGAAAGTTAATCTGAAAATGTTTCACAGCTCCCCTTGTGAACATGTCTGTGGCGACTTCTTGTGGGGAACTCTGTCCACTCCCCCATCTTCTTTGTCACCCTCTGGCTGAGCTGCCATGTCCCTTAACCGCAATGACCTCTCCGCAGATCTTCCTGACTGATGAGCAGCTTCTGAACAAGCCTGCTATGTGGAAGTGGGCAAAATCCAGTTTAGGCTGGGGGAGAGGAGACAGTTCATTGCAGGAGGAAGCACTTTCCAGCAGTGGGCTGATCTTTTGTGGCACTTCTCAGAATACTTCTCAGTGTCCAGAACGACTCACAGTGAGCAAATATTGATCCTCCCCGTGGTGGCCAGGTTTGGTTCCCTTAGGCTGTGAGTGGTAGCCTTCCTTTTCCTAAATAGTTCATGTGAATATTATATACTCCTTCAGAGAAGTTAGGATGTGTGGATCAAACACAGTGATTTGCAAATTTTGGGGATCATAAGATCCTTTAGAGAAACTGACATCAAGGATTTCATCCCCAGAAACCAGCAAATGCACAAAACTTTATTCACAATCTCAGGGGCTATGAACCCATTTAAACCAACAAGTGGATGGCCTAGGGGTCCATGGGCCCTCAAAAGCCTTTCCTCTGGGCGGCTGCTACCTGTAGGGAGAGGGTCAGATTAAAGGGTTTCCAGACACACATTTGATCTGGAGATTTCATGATGTTACCTGCCAATTATTAAAAAGCACGATGGAAAGGTGTAGTCGTCCACAAGTCGTTCTTAATGAACAGAGCAGTTCACCAGCACAAAGGCTGTTTCTGGAAATCCCTTGAGACCTCATCAGCTCTTTTCACAAATGGTGTTAGTCATCATGGAGATCTATCTATCAAATTTGAAGGCCAAATAGGAAATCAATTTTTTTGGGGGGAGGGGAAAAGCCCATGGCAACATTATACTTTTCTAATCCCAACATGGAAAGGCTTCAGTTTATCTGAGAAGTTTGAATCTGACATGGACAAGTGCAGTCTGTTACAGCAAAGTGCTTCCCTCGCCTCTTCCTGCTTCCAGCTCCAGTCCTTGGAGGTGAGCAGGGAGAGAATGTCCTTAATTGTATTCTTGTGACTGGCTCCCCCAGCTGGTTCTGCCAAGATTTTACCCCATTGTGTGGCATCCTTCCCCAGCCTGCCGGGAGCTCTTTGCGATAATTCCATGAACGAAAAATTTATTTTCCTTCGGGGAGAATAACAACAACATGCAAAGATATTCATGTAAAACTATTTTTCTTCTTTATTGAAAATACATCTACAAAGTAATGCTTCCCAGTCCACACTGGGTGCATATATGTATGCAGAACCTGTGATAGGCTGGCAAGAGGTTCACTCTAGGGGATCTGCTTTCCATAAGAAATGGTTAGTATAAAAGAAAAAACACACACACGCACACTGTGTAACAGAATTAAGTTGACGTGATTAATTTTTGCTCTACTAGTGTCATAAGATGACAGCCATGTACATTAACTTTTGTTGTGTATTTCCCAAATAGAGTCTCCACATTAAATGGTTATTCCACCACAACCTAACGTTAACTTTGATACACACATATGCTGGGGATCTATATAAAAATCTCTCTAATTGTATATCAGAGGCGGTATGTCTAGAACTCAGTCTGTTAGCACAATTAAGTCCATTCTTCACCATTTTCAGTCAAAAACTCAGACACAGCTTGTACTCTCTGACAGCTCCCACTCAGCGTCTTTGACCGGCTATTCTGTAGGGGATGAAAATTAATCTCCTCTAAACTTGGGAGCTGCCTCACCTGCAACTAATGCCCCTGATTTTTTTTTTCTTGCAACCTTATTGGCATTGTCTTCATACTGATTTATCTTCTACCATTTCTCTTACGGACACAAACAAAACAAAAGCAAACCCCACTCCAGCTGGATGTTGTGAATGATTTGATATGTGGGATTCCAACACAAAGGCATATCTTGTTTCTTTCATTTTAAATACTTTTGATTGAAGTAAAAAAAAAAAATTCAAATAAGAGACCACCCATCCTATTCATGGACCCCTATTAGAGAGAGCTCATTCATTTGACTTCTTTAACATATATATGATCTTATATTTTGGTATGCAGACTTTGTTGGGGAATGACTTTGAACTCAAGAGAAAAGTGTTTCAGCTAAAAAAAAAATTGAAAACGAATCTCTTCTTTTTTATTCTTCCTTAAAAAAGACCTATACTCTGGGGGTTTTAAAACCCTTTCTTTATCATGTCAACCATGCTCCATTCTTTCCTAGCTCTTTAGTGTTCCATAGTATGACCACAAGCACCCTTGCTAGTTGCTAGTCTTTGTTTTATTTTTGAAAACTCTATTGTCAGTTGAGGAGTGGTAGGGAACATCCTTCCCAGAGCAGTCCCTTCGGTTTGGGAAGAGTAGGAAAGAAGGAAATACTTCCCCTGGTGGGAAGAACTGGGTAAAGAGTCTGAGGAAGAATTCCACTCCTGGAATGGTCTTCCACCTGGCAACTTGCATAACTGGCATTTTGGGCACAGGACCTGGTGAGCCACACAGCCCTCCTGCCCCTAGTTAGAAATGTCTACTCCCATCAAGTGTCCTTTCTGAAAGCCCCATGCTCCAGGGAATAGTAAGAAGTACAGGGTGTACCAGGTGAAATAGAGGGCAGGCTCTTTCATGATGTTACAGGATGTCTGGGCTAGAAGAGACCACAAGACATCTAGGGAAATCACTCATTTATAGATAAGAGCATCGAGGCCTAGAGATGAGATGTGACTTACTGAAGTCCACACGGAAACCTCACTTTCTGCTCCTCCTTAGAGCTGTGCTAGATGTATATGGACACCTAGCCATTAAGAAAATAAGTACACCAGTCAAAAGAGAAAGGGAGAGTAAACCCTTCTCCTGTCCAACTGAGGATAACCGATTACAGTTCAAGTTACTACTAAAACTCAGTTGTGTTCTGAAGGACTTCTAAATTTCCAAAGTTGACTTTAAAATGTTTTTAGCCTACTATTTGTTTCTTTAAATTATCAAAAAACAAAATCACATTTATAGGATTTTGTGCCACATAAACTTGTAAGATTTGATCAAGAATATTTTTGATCTCAGTACCTTACTAGGTAAGACTAATGTGAAATGATTTAAACATTTCAAATGTAGATGAAAATGACACATTTTGGCCACTGCAAAGTCCTCCCATGTTTTTTGAATGACTACTTTCCAATGCTATTAGAGTAGGGAGGTAAAGGGAGATAAGGGGCTTGCTGGAGAGAATGAGATGGAAACATTTTATAATGGTTTTTAAACACCCGGTGCTCAAGAAAGCATTTCTTTATGTTAGTTTACATCTTGGTCTCACTGTCGATGGGTTTCTCAGTTTCACTGTCCTGAGCAATCAGCTGATATGGCTTCTTCATTTCATTCTCTTCAATCACCGAGTTACCCATTTCAACATCTCGGTTCTTCAGTTCATGTCGTGACAAGTGTTCTACAATCCCGGCTCCGAGGGAGTCTCCCAGCACGTTGGTGGTGGTTCGAAGGCGGTCCCTGCGGGTAAGGCGCGGAGGAAGGAAAAATGAGTCTCCCATGAACATCATAAGATTTCAGCTTCTATTAGAAATTGGCTGGTGCTGTGCCTCTTAAAATCCAGTTTTGTGTATCCACCGACTGCATGATTACATAACAGACATCTCCATAATAGCAGCTATCAAAAGTTATAAGGACACATGGATGATCAATGTTCAGTTACTGGTCTGACTGTAGCTAGAGTCTCAGCAGTGGGAAATGACACTTCTCTTTCTCTTTGTATTTAAAATTTCTCCTTGCTCCAATTCACACTCCTTTATACCAGAGGTTCTTAAAGTGTGATCCCGAGGCCAAAATTATTCTCGTCATTATACTAAATGTCATTTGCCCCTTGCACTCTCGTTTTCTCATGAAAGCCTAGTGGAGTTTTGCCGACACTACACAACATGTAATGTCACAATACACTGGCAGTTAGGAAACTCTGATATCTCATATTAAGGCAGACACTGAGGAGATTAGAGAAATGTAAAGCGGTGCCATTCTTTTTACTAAATTTTGGGTTTGGAAATGGTTATTTTTCATAAAAAAAATTCTATTTGTGCTGAAGTATAACTTTATTATTGTAATCTTTAAATAAATTTAAAATTCATTTAATAAATTGAAAAAATTTTTAAACTGCACATTTGTCTAATATGATAAATACTGATAGACATAACCCATGTAGATGAAATTTTTTTTGGTCTTCAATAATTTTTAAGTGTAAAGATCAAAAACTTTTGAGAACCAAATTTTATACTGTAAAAGTGCGCATGTTAGCTGAGTGCTGACTGTGGGCAGACTGTAGGTTGGATGCTTTCCAGACATCATTGCATTTCATCTTCACAATACCACCAGGAGGTAGAGCATCACCATTTTACAGAGGTGGAAACTGAGATGGTTGGGGAGCCTGCCCAGTGTCACACAGGGTCAGGACACAAGCACAGATCCAACAGACTGAGGAAATTCTCTCCTTCCCCTTTCCCTGACTTCATGCACACTGTCGAGCTTTTCATGGTCATTGGTTCTAGTGAGGTCAATATATGTTGACTCCTGGACCTACTGTGTTCTTTTAGGCATTTGCTTTGGGAATCCTGGGGGATAAAATTTTTCAAAAATGGAAGGAAACTTTTGAGAGAAAAGAGACAGGGAAGAGGACAGAGGGATGGACCCTACTGTTAGGGTCTGAGGGTGTGGGGGTACCTTCTTGGAACTTTCTCTAGAACCAAAAATATCAATGCCACTTAACTATACTAGCTCTGTTCCCATTATCAGCATGGCCATCTTTCACCCTGATGGGCTCCTCAATCTGCTTGGCGTGGGGAGGCCAAGGAGGCAGGACCTGAGCCCACAGGTGGGGCCTGCATTTCTGTGCCAGCTGCTGTGGCGATGTGTTGTGCAATTCTGAAATGGCCCTGGTGATTTCTGTTGGCTTCGCAGGCAGCAGGTTTCCCAATCCCTGAGCGGCTTTATGAAGTGAGAAGTGTAGCAGCCACATGTGCCCTGGCGGGCTGATAGGGGAGTGAGTGCACATGGTGTTCGGGGCTTGGTCTCCAGATAAGGGCCAGGGTCAGGCAGTGAGGACCATTTAATTATGGACCAAGCCACCCCTCTCTTCAGAGTTCTTTTTTTAAAATAAAATTTATTTTAAAGATGTGAGGTGCAATTCAGGATTAGGTACACAAGTGGTCATCGTACAAGTAAAGTTTGGGCCTCCCATTGGCCCCCACTTTGCCTGGTTTGAGATCAGATAGCCTTATTGATTCCTCAGAGTTCTTTTGGCAGGCATGGCAGGCTGCCTGGTGCCCTAGAATGACAGAGAGGACAGCAAGCCAGTACGCAATTCACGCATACTCACAGGAACCAGTCCACTGCGATGATGAGAGTGATGTCATCAGTGGGCAGCCCCACAGAAGTCAGCACAATGACCATGGTGACGAGGCCTGCCTGAGGAATTCCAGCTGCCCCAATACTGGCAGCCGTGGCTGTGATGCTATTAAAAGAAGTACCAAAATAGAACACAGTTTTACAAAGCATATGCCACAAAGCACCCACGGTGCCGAGGTTTGACTTGCCATATAACAGATGTGGACATGCCTCAGAAAAATGTAAATGAGATTTTAAAAACTCACTGAGCTCATAGTTATACTAAAATTTATCATACGCTTATTTTGTGTCTCCTGATATGCTAAGCACGGCTTAGCTCATTCGATCCTCATATGACAATCCCTATGAAGTTGGTCCTATTATTATAGCTATTTTTAAATAAAGAAACTGGTAGCTATATACTTTTTATGTCCCCAAAAGTATTTTGTAAAGTCTCAAATGTTGTAGAGTCACAATAACAATTTATTCCTAAGAATTCTCCTATCCTGGTGGAGGGTTGTAAAGATACTGAATACATAAGATTAATGTCAGAAAATCAAATGTATTAATTCAGAAGAAAATGATTATGAAAAAAGTTCTGTGACACTATCAATTTTTTTTTTTTTATGAAGGCAGCGTGGACCTGGTTTGCAAGGCGAATGTGTTATAAATAGTCAAGAATTACCTAGATAAAGTGGTATTAATAAAGTATGAAGTCTGTGGCAGAAAGTGGCATGAGGACTATGTTCCCCAGCTTCCCTTGGAACTTAGACTGAGTTCTGGCCAAGGAAGCATGGGTGGAAGTGATAGGGCAACTTGCAGGCTATGCCACTTCCCTGCTTCCCACTGGTTAAAATCTGGAGGTGGTGATGAGCCATCCTGGACCATTTGGATAAAGGCAATGCCCTAGGGACTTTGGTCCACAAACCTGGGTCCCTTATACTATAGAGTACCTATCAGCCTTGAGGGATCTGTGGAGCAGAGCTGTTCTGTAAGAAAGAGAAATACACTTCTATCTAATTTAAATCACAGTTACTGTTATTTTTAACTCTCGTATATACAACTGAACCTTTTTCATAACTCAGCGCTTTTCGACCAGTTTGCCAAGATGTGCCCAAGATTAGATTACAGGTGTGCTGAGATAATGATGTCTCAGCTGTCAGGGCACGGTGGCTCATGCCTGTAATCCCAACACTTTGTGGCGAGAGGATAGCCTGAGCCCAGGGGTTTGAGGCCAGCCTGGACAACTTGGTGAGACCTCATCTCTAAAATAAATCAAGCAATTAGTTGGGTGTGGTGGCATGAGCCTGTAGTTCCAGCTACTTGGAAGCTACTTGGAAGGATCACCTGAGTCCAGCAGGTTGAGGCTTCGGTGACTGTGAGCATGCCACTGCACTCCAGCCTGGGCGACAGAGTGAGACTCCGACTCAAAAAAAAAATCTCTCAGCTCCCAGTGTAGTCTGGGCTTGGGGTTCTCAGAACCCCCAGATCAGTCCCTGACCTCTGGCCATAATCAACCTGACCTTTTATTACTCCACTGCATCCCACAACTATTATCATTTTCTAATAACACAAAACATATGTAGGGTCAACCATAACTTATTTCTAAATAAACATGACAAAAAATGTGGAATGACTGACAGAGAGTAAAAGAGACTAAAAAAACAAATGCAAGGCATAAATCTGGATTTCATCTTGGCCTGGAAGAAAAAGCTGTAAAAGATATTTTTGAGAGGACAATTGGGAACATTTTAAAATAAAGTGGATATTCTGGAAGTATTTGTAAAATTCTTGCAATTGTAGAAGGATATCTTCATGCTTAGGAGATGCATGCTGAATTACGTACAGATAAAATGTCATAATGGTAGAGAAAGAAGCAGCAAAAATGGCAAAATGTTCACCATTTTTAGATCTAGGTAGAGGATATTTGTTGTAATATTGTTTCAACTATTCTAGATGTCTTACCTTTCATAATAAAATGTTGTGGAAGCCCCCCCATGTTGGACTTATTTTATCTACAAAATATATAGTTAGTAATAATTAAAAACAAAAACCACAACAACAAAGAACAGAGGCTGATCTGGATTGTTAGTCTTAAAGGCTCTGGTTGCTGCTAGACTTATCAGTCCCTTGCGCCATGGTAACTTCCAGTAAGCAAAAAGCAGGGGATAATACTCGTGTAAGCACATGGATCTGCCTGGCCCATGTCGGGAAGGTCACAAAAGAAACTAGCAAGTAACACTGATTGCCTCTGCAGAAGGAAACTAAGCAACTGGGGAAAGGTACTTTTCCCTAGACACTTCAAATATAGTTTAAAAAAATTCTCCACAAAAATCAAACTCTCAACCAACTTGTCAGTGTGGTGTGTCATATCTATCTTACACTGCCTAAAAATTAACCCAAGAGAAAAAGTTCATCTAGTTTTTTATTTTCCAGTATTATCTATAAAATGCAACATATTTTAATGCTTTTAAAAATTAAAGTCTAAACTCATACTTTTGAAAAAGAAATATCTATACATACATAGGGTGCAAAAAAATGTACACACATTTTAAGAGATGTTATCTATGTATTACTTTTCAAAGTTGAATTATGGTAGCAAAAGATGGTGTTAATCAAATGAATGTTAGCATTACTATGCGACAGGCAGAGCAGTCAAAGAAAATGGCGGAAGTACAGTCGTCCCTTGAGGAGCCCAAGACCATTTTGAAGTGATATTTGGAATTTGAGGATGTTGTGGAAGTACAATGACAATGGGGATGTGAGTATACAATGGAACCTCCAACAGGCCTAACAAATACACATAGTCATGATAAGTTTGAGATGCATGGTACTGTATGTGAGATGAACAAGGGAGGATCTGGGAGGCCTCACACGGTCCTGCAGTAATTTACTGTAATCAGAAGTGTCTGGATGCTGATGGTAACTACTTTGAGCACCTCTTGTAATTACAGAAGTCAAATGTACTTGTAATCATCTCTTGTTGTCAGTATATATTGAGTATTACAATTTTTATAGTTTTTTTTTCCTTTTAAAAAATGTGTATACATATTTTTGGCACCCTCTGTATTTTACAGACATTAAAAAGAATGAACTAGATGTACTTATGAATGGTCTATTGATAAGCAAACCATCCTAGGGGCAAACAGTATGTATGGTATAATACCATTAATTACCAAAAAAATGTGTGTCTGTCTATGCATAGGAAAAGGTCATCTGAAGAAAGACGCAGGTGAGTTTCCCTTTTTACTTTATAAACTTCCATATTATTTGAATTTTGTTATTAATGAGTGTGTACATCTGTAATTTTAAAAAACTTGGCTGGGTGTGGTGGCTCTTGCCTATAAACTCAGCAGTTTGGGAGGCTGGAACAAGAAGATTCCTGGAAGCCAGGAGATTGAGACCAGTCTGGTCAACATAGGAAGACCGTCGTCCCCCCCAGAATTAAAGACATCATAACCAGGCATGGTGAAATGCACATGCAGTCCTAGCTACTTGGGAGGCTGAAGCAGGAGGACTGCTTGCGCCCAGAAGTTTGAGGTTGCAGTAAACTATGATTATGCCACTGTACTCTAGCCTGGGCAACAGAGCAAGATCCTGTCTCTAACAATAACCACAAAATAATAATAATAATAATAATCTAATAAAAATATCCAAATATACAAATAAAATGATCCCCCCAAACCCCAACCTCTTGATTACACGTGATCCCCTTCCCAACAGGTTTCTTCACCCTCTCATCTAATTTTAAAGACATTTTTTTTTTGTGAGTGGGAGTCTCACTCTGTAGCCCAGGTTGGAATGCAATGGCATACTCACAGCCACCGCAGCCTCGACCTGCTGGGCTCAGATGATCCTTTACCTCAGCCTTCCAAGTAGCTGGAACTACAGGTGTGCGCCTACACATCCGGCTAATTTTTTCATTTATTGTAGTGATGAGTTCTCTCTAAGTTGCCCAGGCTGGTCTCAAACCCATGGGCTCCGGCAATCATCTCACCTCAGCCTCCCAAAGTGCATGAACCACTGTGCCTGGACTTAAAGACATTCTTAAGAAGAGATTGTGTAGAACTCTTTCTTTGTACCTGATCGTGATAATTTGTCCAAAGTTCAGTTCAAAGTTGTTAACTTGAGCAATGAAAATGGCAGCCAGAGCCTCATAGAGAGCGGTCCCATCCATGTTAATGGTGGCCCCTACTGGGAGCACGAATCTGGTGATGCGTTTGTCCACGCCATTGTTCTCTTCTAGGCACTTGAAGGTGATGGGTAGGGTGGCAGAACTGAGAACAGCAAAACAAGGCATGTCAGCTAAGCACTGGTAGTAGTTTCAACTGCGTGTCTCGACTTTTGCACAGATAGTTCCTTCCTCTCCCGTGTCCTAACTGAAGGGGAACTGAGTCAGCACTTGTGTAAATAGGGGGGCAGGTTAGGAACAGTGTGGTTCCTTCATGGGGTCATTTGGCAGTTATCCAGCTTCTGGGTTCCTCTGTGAAGCATCACTTATGAACTTTCCCCATCTTAACAGCTTGTGCCAAGTCCCACCACCACTTCTCCCTCAGGCAAATGTCAGCTAAAGAAGGTGATGGACTGGGCAGGAAAGGATAGTCGACTTACATTTTGTCCCCCCAAAGGATGTATAGCCAATCATTCCTTCAGTCCCAATTAAGTCAGCATCAAAAGTGGGAAAGCCAATTCGTTACTCCTGGAAGTTAAAAACCTAGGACAAAATGCTTCCTCCTACCCCCAACCTTGAGGGACTCTTGTTCAAAGTAACATTGAAGACCCAGTTTCTGATAGGAGTAAGCCACACATACCTTGAAGAGGTCCCCAGGGCCGTGATGAGTGCTTGCAGCAACCCTCCAATGAAAACCCAAGGGTTTTTTCGTGTTACCAAGAAGTAGAGGAGGGGCAGGACGATGACTGCATGAATAAGCAAGCCGACAATGACGGTCACCGTGTACATGGCAAGCTGCCCCCCAATCACGCCCATGTCTTCCATCTCAACAATTTTCCCAGCAATGAGGAAGAGGATGCCCAGAGGGGCATACCTGTGGAGAAGCAACACACACACAATCGGAGTCTGGTTTCTACCAAGTTAGTTCACAAAAATTTCCAAGTATTGAGAAAAAAGGAGTGTTGATTTCCAAACTTTTCTTCCCAGGATAATATGAGGACTTGTGGAAAAACTGTGAGCTTCTTGTTTAAATACAAATTTCTCCTAGTTATTACAGACCAGGCTTTCCTTTCACTCAGAATTGCTCTGGGACATAATTTTTTGTTATCTTCCTCTGCTTTCCTAGACAGTTCTCTGGGTCGCTTCTCTGGTCCTCAGATGCCACTCACTCCCCCACCTCCTGCTCCCTTACTAAGTACCCTGAACTGCCAGAATCCACAGTGCCAATGTCCAGACTTTTCTCTTATTCAAGGACTACTTTTATTATTATTTTTCTAAATCTACACACCACTGACAAAATTACCTACCATTATTCTTCAAATCACCTTTTTTACTTAAGTATATTTATATACTTAGGAGGAAATGTTATGTTATAGTGCAAACGGAAATCTAGTGCTACTTGCCATAAATAGGTGTCCATAAAATATATTCAGCGCTATTAAATTTAATAAGGTACATGTAGGCACTACCACAATCAGCTAATAGGTGTTCTCATTAAGTAACTATAACTCACAAGCTGTGACTGCTGTTTGTGAGCTTTCCCCCTGCAGACTCTGCAAGAATGAACTGAGACACAAAATGACTTGTACATATTGAGATCACCCTGGTTGCTTAAGGGTTCCACTGCCTGGCTTTCAACTCCCTTTGTCTGAAGCATGCGGTTAACTACAACCAAACTCACTACCAAACACAGAGAAACCAATCACCCTTAAGGAGAAGGGTTTGCTGGGAACTGTGGAGAACTTGTCTTAAATTAAGAAATACAATGCTTCTTTCAAAAGTCCTTTAAAAGTACAGGCCAGGAAATCATAGGAATACCTGTTTTCCGAAATGTAATAACTCAATGTTGAATGTGCAGGCGAATGTACAGCTAGAAAAACTACATGTGAGTTCATTCAGTGGCCTTGAATGGGCTCCTTTCATAAAAGAGGTGAAAAGTGGAGGCATTTTAATAATATGAAGATAAATGTCCATTTTCATTCCTGCCAAGATTTCAAAGGAGCCTTCCAATTGGGGTCTCCCGTGGAGACCACATTCTGATCCGTCTTTGTGGCCAGGTTCATATCCATCTTGCACAAATTCCTGAAAAATGGATTTCTCTGGGCTTTGGTGGCACTCAAGACAAAGTACATTTTTAATCATGTTGGTGAGCGAGTGCTTTTCTTAGCAATGGATGCCTTCCTGCCTCAGGTGCCAAGGAGGAGTCTGGATTAAAAATAAAGGATGAAAGAAAGGCAACTCCCACACAAGGCCTAAGCCAGTCAAAGGGTCTCTCCCTGCTGGGAGTTTACTTTCCAAGGTCAGTGTTCCTCTTTGGACTTAGTCTTTTCCTTTGTCTCTTGCTCTCAACTTTATTAAAGGAAATTTTGTTATAAATTGTGGCTTGGCGTGCTATAACACTTCCTGTGAGTCTTTCAGACATTGCAGTGAGACTTATTTACATTTCTTTCTTGGGGCTGAAATGGAGTGAGGAGACCTCTGTTTTCTCTATGGCTTAGGTTTCCTCACTCCATTTCAGCCCCAAGAAGATCCAAAATATCCTTGTATGTTTTCTTCACTACTATATCCTCAGTGCCTAGCACTATATGCATGACATATAGTAGACACTCAATAATAATTATGTCTTGAATGAATGACTACATATAAAATAGAGAAATGAGAGATAGAATTCTCGAATGAATGAGTAACCTAGATATTCTTGAATGAATAACTAGATCTAAAATAGATAAATGAAAAATAAGATTCCATCAGCAATGGGGTGAAGGAGTTGACACCTTTCAAAGACAAGGAAGCAAACTTATCAAGAGAGGTTTTAGTGGGGGAGGGGATGTGGGTTACGTGCAGATAGGTTCAAGGCCTCTATATGCCCAGACCTTCATTGCTTTTTCTTGTGTTTACCAGAGTGAGATCACTGAAACTGGCCAATCCGCTTCATGGTATCTTTCTCACTACAGAACACATGTTGATGACAATAAGCATCTTGTATATGACATATACAGCAAATGGAAATACATACCACATGATCACTGCTACTAATCTCATGATGGCTTCGTTAAGAGAATCAAAGAAGTCTCTCAGGGCTTGCCCCTGCTCCTTCATGTTTCCAATCACAAAACCAAAGCACATGGAGAAGACAACGAGTCCGAGAGCATTGACCCCATTCACGGATCCTGGAACTGGGATCATCTCCTCTGTGATCCGTGTTAGAGTCTCCATGGCCTCAGACACATTGTTTATCACAGCACCCACAAGCGTTTCATTGGCTGGGACAGGCACTTTAAAGCTTCTCTTCTCATAGCTGGTTTTAAACTTAAAGTAAAAAGTACAACAGGGATTAAAGGTGGTTTTATTATTATTATTATTCTGTTATCCACATTTTCCATAATTACATACATTACATTCAGAGAACAGTGTTATAGAAAGTATCTCTATCTAATCTGTGGCAAACTCCAATTACTTCCTCGGCATAGGCAGAAAGACACACAAACTCAAATAATATAAATCATATCACATACATACACACACTCAAATACGTATTAATGATAATAGGAGAGAGATATTTGATGCTGGGTACATTACTGTGGCCATATGAAACAAGTAAGCTCATTCCTCTATTATTTTAATGAGGGTAAAATTCCTGGTCTTGATGGTGATTGTAGAAAAGCATCAGTGACAGTAATAATGTATGGACAGAGACTGAATCAGGGTCTAGGGGAAGAAAGCACCATGTGTATGTAAAGTTCTTGGCTATTTCTTTACCAAATGAAAGACTTTCTTGCCCATTGGAAAACAACTATTCCCAAACACAAGCATGGCCAAGTGTCAATATGAAGAACATATTCTAGACATCTGGACTAAACACATATATGTGCTTTTACTTTCTTCTGAAACGCTAATAAAATGACTATGTGTGACTTTTTTTTAAACCATAAACTCAAATATTCACAATAGTCCTTTAACTTTCCAAGGGGATTATGCTGTAGGATCACGGACAAATCATCTAACATCCTTTCTCTCATATGCCACAGCTGTGAAACAGAGTAACTGGTGACTTTTTTTTAAACCATAAACTCAAATATTCACAATAGTCCTTTAACTTTCCAAGGGGATTATGCTGTAGGATCACGGACAAATCATCTAACATCCTTTCTCTCATATGCCACAGCTGTGAAACAGAGTAACTGTGCTGGTTCTACCTCACAGAGTTGCTGTGATGATCAAATTAAACAGAATATATGACAGCATTGTGTACATTTTAAAGCACTATACTAATGTTGGCTGATGGTGCTCAATGACAAAACCTCTCAGGAATTAGACTTAGTTGGAGATTTCAGTGGGTATTAAAAATTAAAAATCCAGCCGGGCGCAGTGTCTCACACCTATAATCCCAGCACTTTGGGAGGCCGAGGTGAGAGGATTGCCTGAGCCCATGGATTCGAGACTAGCCAAGGCAATTTGGTGAGACTTCACCTCTACCATAAATAAAAAAATTAGCTGGGCGTGGTGGTGCATGCCTGTAGTTCCAGCTACTTGGAAGGCTGAGACGGAAGGATCACCTGAGCCCAGCAGGTTGAGGCTGCGGTGGCTGGAAGTATGCCACTGCACTCCAGCCTAGGTGACAGAGTGAGACTCCAACTCAAAAAAAAAAAAAGATAAAATAAAAAATGAAAAGTTCCCAAACAACTAGTCTTCAAGCCATTCTTGATCTTCTTCAATTCTTAGGAATAGGTGCCTGGTTAATAGTTGATGATAGCCAGGCATGGTGGCTCACGCCTGTAATCCCAACACTTTGGGAGGCGGAGGAGAGAGGATTGCCTGAGCTCAAGGGTTCGAGACCAGCCTAAGCAACATGGTGAGACCTCGTCTCTACAATAAATCCTAAAATTAGCTGGACTAGTGGTGGCGAATGCCTGTGGTTCCAGCTACTTGGAAGGCTGAGGCAGAAGGATCGCCTAAGACTAGCAGGTCGAGGCTACGGTGGCTGTGAGCATGCCACTGCATTTCAGGCTGGGCGACAGAATGAGACAATGACTCAAAAAAAAAAAAAAAAAGTTGACGACAACTCACATTCTCCAAGCCCATAATATGGTTTCTCTTCTAACTCAAGAGATGGTCTTTTCTCCATAGTTTCTGCATAGGCGCCCCAGATAGGAGATGCTGGGTACATTACTGTGACCATATGAAACAAGTAAGCTCAACCCCCTATTATTTTAATGAGGGTAGAATTCCTGGTCTTGATGGTGATTGTAGGAAAGCATCAGTAATAATGTATGGAGAGAGACTGAATCAGGGTCTAGGGGAAGAAAGCACCGTGTGTATATAAAGTTCTTTGCTATTTCTTTACCAAATGAGAAACTTTCTTGTCCATTGGAAAACTACTATTCCTAAATACAAGCATGGTCAGGTGTCAATAGTAAGAACATATTCCTGAACAACCAGTAGTACTGTTGATAATTTCAAGCAACCAAAACAAAACAAAACAAAACAAAACAAAAAAACAAAACCAAAAACCAAAGACCAAAAACTGGCCCCTGTCTGTCTTCTATTCAGATCAACTCCCAAATTTCTTTATTCCATTGTATGCTTATGCATGCTATGGATTGTCCAGGGTAAATTTTTAATCCCGATCAGCCTTTCTTATGACTCCAACTCTTTTCCCTTAGACACAGTTACAGCTTTCACAGAAGCGGCAAACTTGTTTGCATTCTGCTTTAAGCCAACTAGACCTGGGGAGAAACATTTGTTTCCTCTTCAAAAATCCTGTAAATGCAACTCCAAATCAAACACAATAAATCTGCACAAGTCAGCACTTTTCCCATCTGAAGGATCTGGAAATCAGCATTTTTTATATCACTCAGTGCCAGCTGACTAACTGGAACAGTCAACCCCATGGTGCTGGAGTTGGCTGGTTGGATTGAAAGGGGTTTATTATTTACTATTACAGTTGTTTTTGAACAAAGAAAGTTAGATTTTGGCTTCTTAGGCTTATTTTTTGTGTGTCATTTTTTAAAAAGAAAGAATTTTGCTTGAATTTGGCAATGTGTGCATGCATGCAAAATTGTCTTAATAAAAATTATTAAAAGGGAAAAAAACAAAGGAGGACTTAGATGTGTAAAACCTAGTCCTCCACAAGGTTGGGGCTATTTTGTTTGTTTTACGGATCCTAAGCAGAGGGGCTAGGGGAGTTACAACAGGAGTGAATTGACACCATCTGCAGAAATGTTTGGGAAATATTATGTGACCCTGGATGTCTGTTTCCCTTTTTATATTTTGGGCAACAAAGCTTTTATACAGTCAAGTAAGGTTAGACTGATTTTAGCCTCTACTAGTAAGGTGTACTTGTATCTACAACACAGACAACCAAGAGTCACTTGGATATGTGCTAAAAGAAAGTGAGCCTTACAGTGGCATCTAGGCAGGTGTCTTATCTCTCTGGATGTTCCTTTCTGGGAAGCAGAATGGAGTAATAGGAAAAATATAGAATCTGGAGTCAACACCATGGATCTGAATTCTAGGTTTGCCACTTAATACTTGTGAGAGCTTGTGCCTTTTACATAATCCCCCTGGATTCATATAGATGAGTTACCTCATCAGTAAAATGAAGACAATAAGACAATGATATTCATCATATTTGTGTCAGGACTAAATATAACATTAGTGCTTGGCACATAGCAGGCGTTCCATGAACAATGATGCCATTCCTTTCTGATATGGTTCTCTTTTAGAATCCATTAGGCACTTAGTAGACTTAAAAAAACAAACAAAAACCCCCACAGTCCATTGATTTTTAAATCAAACCCAGAAACCTGAATAATCTCCCTAATCTTCTTTAAAGCAAATTGTAAATGTACTTTAGAGTGGAGTATGCTTGCTTGGGGGCCATTTGCCAGTGGGAAGTGGCAGCAGGGAAAGGAAAGGGGTCTTGTGATTAACTTTCTTAACAATAACAGAGACTCAGTGAGCTATTTGTATGCAAGACACACTGTGTCTGGCAACTAATAAGCTTTGAATACAAGGTAAGAACCATCCCAACCCCCAAATTTCCTAGAAAACCCTTGTGTTTCTCATCTGGTTGGCAAGAAGAAGTGTTTCTTATTGTAGGTCCCACTTGGTTTGGACGTCAAGATGGAATTTCATAGGTGAATTAATGGCTGTAAAGTGTTTACCTGTTTAAAGCAGGCTTCCACTAGATTCGGAGGGAACATGTTCCTGCAAAGAAAATAACACTCACTTGAAAAATTTTCCAAGTAATAAGTTTGCTCCTTAAATTCTGTTTTATCGTGTCTAAGGTAAAGATTGTATTGAATCAAGCAGCAAATGGAAAAAGAAAAAGATTTTGTTGGATTTTATGACCTGAAAGAAACATACGATCCTCTCTAAGTATGGCCCACGTAGTGCATATTTTTCAGAGAAGTCTCAAACTCAACTCACCTGACCTCTTGTCAGCCAATGGGATTCTTTGTTCAGCCACTGTATTACCAAAACTCTGTATTATCAAACCCTGAAAATGAAAGTGCCTTTCATCATCAGCATTCTGGCTAACTGTGGTATTACTCAATAGTGGCCATTTTGATTATTGTACCTAATGTGTCTAGAGATCAAATGTTCTGAATCAAACTCATGGTCAGACTGAGGAATTTTGTTCTCCAAAAAAATTTACCCAAAGGCCTTCTGGGGATAGGATGTTGGCACTGACTTGTTAGAACTTCTGTAGCTCTTTGATGGCTAATGGAGAGATGGCTCACGAAATCTGAACTTGGGGCCCATGTGGCAGTGTTTCTCACTTCCTCGGAGACTGTGTCAGAGCAGTGTTTGAGTCTGTGATGAGGGGAAGGGATAGGCAACAGTCTGGCTGGGGAATCTCTAACCAGCTGCATTTATGCCTTGGCCGATGCATCTGTTAAAGAAGGAACTGGATTAAATTAGTGTTAGAGTCCCAAGACGGAAAAGTGTGGGAGAAGACATGACCCAAGTAGTCATCTCAAGCTCGAGTTTCCAGCAGTTATGTGTTATCAAAGTTGAGTATATTATGGTTTAAACTCTTATCCTTTTCTTCCTACTACTTACACCATCTGTTTTCTTTTCTTTCCTATCTATATTCATTAGGTTTCTTTCTACCTTAATAGAAATATCTCTGTTCAGGGGATTCCAGGATAAATGACCAAACCAAGTGACTAGGTGGGGATAGGATATTCATACCCTTGATGCTGGGGTGAGGAGGGATGGAAATATATAGTGCTCTAATGGATCAACCACACTGGGGGTAACAAGATCTTAATCCTTCAAACAAGCAATAAAAATGATAGAGAAAGAAGCTTGGTAACATAGCAAAACCTTGCCTCTATGAAAAAAATTAGCAGGGTGTGGTGGCATGTGCCTGTAGTGGCAGCTTCTTGGGGAGGCTGAGGCAGAAGTATCACCTGAACCCAGGAGGTTGAGACTGCAGTGAGCCACTTTCATGTCACTGCACTCCAGCCTGGGTGACAGAGTGAGAACCTGACTTAAACAATATATATATATATATAGAAAAAGAAAGTATAATAAGAATTCCTAATCCAAACTACCTCAGGGTAAAGTTCATGATGAAATGGTGAAAAACCTTCATGAATTGTATGAACTAAATGAAAACACAGTTATCAGGTGCCAACTCAGTATGAAATAGTGTTATAGGGTGGTTACATTCAGATCATTGTGTTTGACTCTCTGAAAATGGGTTCTCAAGAAGAGGCCCCGTGGGGATTGGGTGGCATTTGCATACAGATGGTGCAAAGTCACCCATGTGAGAACGGAAAGGTGTTACTAAGAGACCCTGCACTCTTTTGAATCCACCTGCCATAACTTCATTCCTTGAGATGGTGAAATCGATCTTGGAGTTTCCTTCAGATGCTCACTGGGGAACTGTATAGAGTAGGTATCTAGGATTGGCAGCCCAGTCACTTGCAGGTAAGGTGTAAAGTTGGGATCAAAGGGCTAGGGTTTGGGAGGACAGGTTGGGAGGGGTTATACAGTGGAGAGATGCTATGCAGGTGGAGCAGGAGGAACTACAGACCTGTGGTGGGATCTCTTTCCTTTGTTCTTCTAGATTCATGTTCCCTTCTGCTCTGTGCCTTGGGAAGCTGATCCCTATGGACCATAACATGTGGGTTCTTTTGCTTCCAGCTGGGCTTGTCTAGTGGCATGTACTGGCAGATCACGGGGCAGAGGGAGAAAGAGTTCACTTATATATTCTCCCAGCTCTGTCTTTGACAGGTTTGGCAACAACTCCTTTCCTCCTTGAGACTCCTCTCTCTCATGGCTGCATCTCTTTCTGGGTTCCAGTAACAACTCTTTTTCTTTGCCCCTTTATAACTAGAGATGGTAACAAAATGGCTTCCTGGTTGTCAGTGTCCAACCTCACCATCCTTTGTAGGTTTCCTTAATTCTGCCCGCACCTTTGCAGACCTTCTTCAGTGTTCCTTTTGAGGATGTGGTGTGCCTCCTGCCAGGACCTGACTGAACCAAGGCAGGTGTGTAGGGAGAGCAAGCAGGAAGGTGCCAGGATCAAACTCTGGTTAATTTCAGTTGTGTGAAGCAGACTCTATTACCAAGTCTGCTACAAGTATTAGATAAGACTCATTTGTAATCACTGTGAATAGGCCATACTTGAGTAAAAACTGGCCATCAAGGACGGGACTTAGGAAAAGTAGGTTAAGAATGGTTAAAATTCCAAGGTGAATTGCATAGCTGAGAGGAGAACTGAGTGACCAGATTATGAATCCTTTAAGCAGGGCTCTCAAAATCTGTATCTTTTCCCTGTTCTTGTTTCTTTCATATGCAATCAAAGAATGAACCCTTACTTGAATTTCTTTTAGAAAGAAGTAAAGATATATGACCTTCATTTCAAGCCTGGCAAGGCTGGTTCAGTCGGACACCCCTTCCTGGGGGTTAGTTAGCTTCCCCCAATAAGAGGAATGGCGTGGTCAAAATATACCCAAAAGGATGGGCTTGCGAGGACATACCTGATCAAGTCCAGGAAGGCATCTGCTGCTGTCACTCGTACAATTTTGCCTTCTCTGTGCATGTTTTCCTTTGTGCCTTTCCCAGGATGGATGATGATGACAATGATTATGCCAATCACCACGGCAATGATGGTGGTAGTCATGTAATAGACTACAGCTCGCATTCCCATCTTCCCTGATGCCTTACTATCTAGGGCCGCCATTCCTGGTGAAGGCAAACACAAGGTTTTCAGGAAGTCAGTCCAGGGAATCATCTGATAATGGGAATAGCATTTCCTTTTACATTCCCCTACCCTCAACCCACCCAGCACTGGGAGTCTGTACATGTTAGGACAACTTGATCCAAAATTTAATCAGGGTATCACACAAGGAAAAAGGGGGAAAGCCTAGCCTAGAATGGTTAGGCATCAGCTGTGTCCGAGAACACCATCACTGTGTTCTGCCCCAAGAATTGATTTCACCATCACTGTGTTCTGCCCCAAGAGTTGATTTCACACGGCCAAATAAATACTGCTCTCTCATGGTCTGAAAGTGCTTTCAAATTCTTCCCTAGGTTACTCCTAGTTGGGGAAGCTGCAAGTATGAGCAGTAAGTAGTGCGTTTGTGTGTGTGTGTGTGAGTGTGTGTGTGTGTGTGTGTGTGTGTGTGTGTGTGTGTGTGTGTCTAAAGAAAAACCTAAAAAAAGTTTCTAGCAGGATAACCTAAATTTTCCTCAAGTTCAAGCACTGTGGTGATTCACACAGATTAATTGCCATTAAGTTCCTTCAAAACGATTATTATTTTATACACATATTTGGGAGTCTTTTTTGATGCTTTTATGTAAAATTTAAGCTACTATTCTGATCACCTGCTAATCTATCTTCACTTTACATTGAAAGTAGACACTGGGTTCTCAGTTTCTCTGTTTCATTTCATCTCATTCAATCAAAAAAAATTTTAAAAAGCATTTTGGTGCATTCTCATTCTTGCACCATCTTTTTCTACCTTGTCCCACAAGTCTGGAATCCCTAGCCCTATGTTAAAAAAAAAAAAAAATCCCCCTTTCCCTCATTTTCAGAACATATGCAAAGTCTGCCTCAGGCAAGATGTCATCCAAGATTAAAAGAAAAAAAAAGGAGGCCTGACTTTCAAGTTTTCCTAAAGGCTTAGTTAATGAACACATCTCAGTGCTTCTTGTGCTAAAAAATAATTGGAAATGACACATAACTCTCCAAAGATTAAATTATCTATAATAGTATGGGCTCTTCTATTTCATTAGTTGTTTCCTCAGTTTTTTTCCTGCTTTATCCTTCCCAATTCTGCTAAAATTCAATTGCAGTATAATCCAATGATAGTTAATTAAACTATTTTTGTTTTACTATTTACAGTTGTGTTTCTGTAAATGTGCTAAAAGGTTATACTGTATTTCAATGATGAGTATTAGATTTTTTTTTTTTTTTTTTTGAGTCGGAGTCTCACACTGTCACCCAGCCTGGAGTGCTGTGGTAAGCTCACAGCCACTGCAGCCTTGACCTGCCGGGCTAAGGCGATCTTTCTGCCTCAGCCTTTCAAGTAGCTGAACCCACAGGCGGAGCCATGACGCTTGGCTAATTTTTTGATTTATTGTAGAGACAATGTCTCGCCATGTTACTCAGTCTGGTCTCAAACTCCTGAGCTTATGCAATCCTCTCACCTCCACCTCCCAAAGTGCTGGGATTACAGGCTTGAGCCACTGTGCCTGGCTGAGTATTAGATTCTAATGGTGGTTTAATATTCAGGTAGTGACTCTGTTCACGCAAACATATTTAAAGTACTGAAAAAAAAAAAAAACCAATGCCTGGTTGTCAGATAACTGGTTGCCTAAAATCTTAATACAAAGGTATTCAGTGGGAATTGAAGCCATGACCTTCAGTCTATAATTTCATTTGTATTTGAATTGTATCATTTATAATTTTTATAACAAGCATACTTAATACCTAATACATTCTTATTTTTAATGACAATCTAGTTCTTCATTAACACCAAGTAGAATGGAGTGAGAACTTGAACTCAGATCTTATGTAACTAGCTTTAGTGCACTTTCTGCCCCTGAGAAAACCATCTGCAGCTCCCACAGACAAGGAGGCCAGCTCTGGCGTTGGTGCCATGAACTTATTCTTTTATCCTTGCCTACTTTCTTGAAGCCCGGGGTTAAGTATTCATTTATTAGGATGGCACCACTTCAACACTTCAACTACGTTTAAAATGGGCTAATCTGTTCTCAACCAAAGTATCCCATCCCCCGATTTTCATTCTGAGATCTGAATCACATCTCAAAATATCTTGGCTTGGGTGTAATTGAAATGATTTCTCTCAGAAGGGGCCCGCTGTCTTTCCCAGGATTGCCTGAACTTGTCACCACTGAAGCCTGCAATTCTTCCGGCTCTCTCCCTGTTGAACCGGCGGGTGGTGTAAGCACAATATGCCGGATATCTCTTGGTACCAGGCAGCAGTATTTTCTTCCTCCGAGATGTTTTCTTTTCCCTCCTGCCTGCTATTCTGTGGTGCTGTTTCGTTCTCACGCCAACTCTTTTCTGACGCTCCTGACCACTATTCCTGACCTATTCGGAGAGAGTACTAAGTGGTCAAGGCACAGTACTGGGAACCAAAGTGGCAAACAAAGGATGAGGCTTGGATCTCCCTCCCCACCACGTGGAAGGAGGTGGGAAAGTTATCTCAGTGCCCACAGCTATAAGGCTATCAGCTACAGGAAATGAAGCTCACAAGGTTTTTTATTTGTTTTTTAAAGGTAAAAACAATATAAAAGTATTTTTTCCATAATTTTCAATTGTGAAATAGCTGAAGACAACCATCAGGGCATTTTTTTTTTTTTTAAGCAATAAAAATAGAAGATTCAATAACCAAATGAGAGGCCTCACCCACCCTTGCATATTGGCTCTTTTCCTTTGAAAGAGACTAAAGTAACAGCTGCTATTGTTTTAGTCAAGAAAGGTAAGAGAGACATAATCATTTATCAATTCTCTATGTAAGGTTCTTCCCCTAAACGGGGTCTGACTTCTCACACGGGGCTACTAGCCCACTACTGCCCCAGGTACCCCATCCTGTACAACAAACAAGACCACCAGGAACAAGACTGTACATTGTAATCAGGGCAACAGTGGGACAGTTGTGTACAATGGGCTACACACAATGGCCTTGATACTGGTGGAGTCAGGAAAATGGAGTAAGAACTCTGGAGGAGAAAACCCCAAGTGAGCAGGGTATCATTCTTCCTTTCCCTCATCTAAACCCTGATCATTTCCTCTCCCCAATCTCATGAAATATGAGATGAAACTTTACACTAGAGACTAAACACAAATGACAGAGTGTCTGGGGCAAGGTTCAAGTACTAAATCACTTTGCAGAAAGAGGTACTTTGCCAGGAATTGCCCCAAATGTTTGGGAAGGAGAGGGTTTGCGTTGAGTCTGGTCACTTTATTTTTTATTTATTTATTTATTTTGAATTGGAGTCTCACTCTGTCACCCAGACTGGAGTGCAGAGGCACGCTCCCGGCCACTGCAGCCTCGACCTGCTGGGCTCCGGCGATCCTTCCGCCTCCGCCCTCCAAGTAGCTGGAACTACAGGCGCATGCTACCACGCCTGGCTAATTTTTTTTTTTATTTATTGTAGATGAGCCTGGTCACTTTAAAATGTATGAGAGAAAAGGCATTGGGGTGATGGGGAGATAGGAAATCACTTGGGTGTGTAGGTACTTGTGAAAATGAGTTACAACAGCCCGGTGCTCATTTAAATACATTTGAGAAACACATTCCAGAGCAAATGATAAAGATAATAATCTTAACTAGTCTCTTTTTCTTCATTTGATCTGGGTTTAGCTAAACCAGCCCCATTCAAGATATCTTGACATCTTTATTATGACAACAACCTGCCATCAGAATCAAGACCTTCTTCAAATCCAAATAATTATTATTTTGTACTATTGCTCCAAGTACCACAATGGAACTTGCAGTTATGACATGTTTGTATGTTTGTGTGTTTTATGCATTTTGAGTTAACTTTTATGTGGTCCACTGACTCACTTACTAAGTCCTACCTCTGACCAAAGGTATGTATTTACCTAATTCCATGACAATTGTATATTGCAGATATTGTTAATACCATTGTATGGGTGAAGAAACAAAAGGCCAGAGAAGTTAAGTAACTTGCCCAGTGTTGCACAGCTAGTAAATAGCAGTGGCAGGACTTGACTCCATACTTCCAAGGGAATATCCTTACTGCTATACCTCTCTTCTTAGTGACAAACTAGGAGTCACCCACATTTCATTTGCTTGTTATTCATGCTGATTTCTTCTGACTTTCTTGCATTTGAGTTCAATTTTGAGATAAGTCACTTGACTTGAGAAAAATTATCTGGAGGGATATATTTGTGGAAAAACTCTGTCCAAACACGTGGCATTCCTTAAAGCCAAGTTGAATAACACTGATCACCAGAAGCACTAGCTAGAAAGCTGATATACCAGTGCAAAACTTTCACCACTTCTATAAAAACTGCCCAGAGCTTGTTCTAATGGAGTGTGGAGGGCCATGTATATTTGCTGGTTGCGAACACTTGAGTCTTATTTTCTTTTCTAAACATGTACTCATCAATAACCAATTATCAAGCAAGCAATCATTTCTGCAAACCTATTTTTGCAGATGAGTTTTTGTAATGGGTTTAGCATCAAAAGACTGAATAAGGCACTTTCTAGAATGCAAAAGATTAAAACTTTGCTTCAAGTACCTGGGTATTTTAGGCAGCAGTCACTTGGAAGAGAAAGGAAAGAAAGAGAAGATAATTTTTTAAAAGCAAATAGATCATTACCTCTTTATTTATGAAGACTGTCTTCTGGTAATCAGTTTATCACAACAAATGTGCATCAAAATTAATGAGATGTTTTGGAGGGGAGAGAGGGAGTGTTTCATACACTCGTGTGTGGTACTCTGTAAGTCTATGTTGTAAATTACATCTCTTTTGCTATAACTAGTATGATTTCTTAAATAAAATATGCGATCAGTCAAGTATTAAAGAGTAATTAAATAATGCTAGGTTACCAAGCTTCTATCACCTGCACAGATTTTATTTTTCCAGTGCTGAAAATCTAGTCTTCTATATTAACATATAATGTGTTAGTGTTGGCATACCTCCCTCCACGCCCCCAACAATATTCCTGTTTCTGGTTTTGAAA